GCCCTTGGGGACTGGGCGGCCCCGCCGCTTCCCGCGTCCTGATGGGGACCGGCGCGTGGCCCCTGGGGGCTGGTTCCCGTTGTCACTGCTCGGCTGTGGGGACCCCGGAGGCGCCTCTTGGCGTCGGGGCGCTCCTGTTCGACCACCGCCCCAGGGGACCTTCTAAATTGGAGGCCCCGCGGGTCTACGGCCCTCCTACCGGGAGGAACCCGAGCGGGTGCTTTCGGAGTTCCGGGGCCCTTCCGGATCCTGAAGTGAGGGGCCCCGAACGCAGCCATTGGGCACATGGGGCACCTCAGAGTCCTTCCTGGCAGTAGGACCCCGAGTGGGAGCCGGAGGGCAGCAGCGCCCCCAACTCGCGCCCGACTTGGGCGCACGTGGCGGCACTGGGCTCTGTCTCGGCGGGGTCGGGGGCCCCCCCAAAGCTCGCAGCACCCTAAAGCTGACGTGGGCGGCCAAGGTCACGGGCCGCAGTGTCTGTCATGTCAGAGCTCCTTGAACTGAGTGGGAACCTAGCACTCATAGCAGGGGGTGTTAATGTGTTAATGGCTGGGCCCTCCAAACGCAGACCCCTTGTAGAGGTGACTACCAGCCCCTCCTGCTCCTGACCCAGGCCATTTAGTGAGAGACTCGAATATGCCAGCAAGTGGGTCATCTCCCCCTAGAAGTGGGGTGTGTGTGTCAGTGAGCCCTCCTTGCTCAGGGAGCCAGACTGGGCCTAGGTGGGGGCAGCCCTGCAGAGAGAAACAGCTTCTTGTCTTTGGGCAGGCACCCAGCCCTCCCCAGTGTACACTGGAGTCCAGGGAGCTCCCACCTGTGTGCCCTGGGGGCCAGATGCCTCTTAGGGCCAGGAGGCTGCTCAATGGAACAGGACTTGGCTGCACCTGACCATGACGGGCCTGGCGGGAGGGGTCTCCGGCTGCCCTGCTTCTGGTGACAGGCTGTGGCCTCCTGGTGCCCCGTGGACCCGTCATGAATTGGAGAGATGTAGGTGACTGCACCTCCTGCCACTACAGGGCCACTGTGCTTCCCTGAGGAAAGGATCTCCAGTGGGGAGGCCATGGTGAAGCTGAGGAAGGCCCTGAGTACAGGCCCTTCCAAAGGTAGCCAGTCCAAGACTGGGGTGGGCAACCTGGTCCTGGGAGCAGGGAGCTGTCCTGTGCAGCACTCCTGGTCTCCATCCCCTTCCCCTCGTGACAACCACTTATGTCCCTCTCCCACGACCCTGTGCTCCCTGGGCACAGAGTTGCCCCTGGATGCCTGCTTGCTCAGTGCCTCAGGTACCTGGGCTCATGGGCCTTGCTTTCCATGTCAAGTGAGCGTTGCAGAATTTCCTGAACCACTTCCTGCGCCATGGTGCTTCATTGTGGTCCATAAACAGAAACCGAACCAGGGCTCTTCCAGCCACCTTCTACCGCGAGTCTGTGATGCCGAGAATGTGGGCCAGTTCTCCCTGGGAACTGAATGCAGTGTCTTCTTGGCCCCCAGGCACGGTGGGGCCGCCTGAGGGACATGTCCTTGGTCATGTTTGGATTTGCCCCTTCCCTGGTGTACACAGTTTTCCTTGGAACTCTGTGCCCAGTGACTGACTGGCTGACTTAGTGGCTGGCCAGGCTGGTTGCAGCCTTCTACAGACTCTATCAGCCTTGTCATTGTCCAGACTGCTCACGGTGCTCTTGGCTGAGCCTGGGGCTTATGGCAGGCCAGGGTGAGGGATAAGGGAACGGTGACGCCTCATAGAGCAGCCTGCGTCCCAGCCCTGGCAGTGTGACTAGGCAAGTCCTCGAGAGGCTGTTGACCCTGAGTGTCTGGGAAGAAAAGGGCTCCTTGCAGGTGGCGAGCTTCCTGCCCCAGAGGGGGTCTCATGGGACCAGCCAAGCCACGCTGTCAGAGGCTCAGCCTGGGCTGTGCTCCCACAGGGTGGCTGGCCTAGATGCAGTAGGAAGCCTTCCAGGTGCTGCCTGGATATATGCACCCTCTGTGGCAGCCCCCAGGAAGCTGCCTGAGGCTGCCTTCAGTGGTCCTCAGAGGGGAAGGTGTGTCTGAGGTGGGCACTGAAGTCAACGTTGCTTGGACTCGGTACCCGGCTGCGCCGAGCTCAAGAACAGTGCTCACAATGATGCTTGTCGGTCAGGATCAGAAAACTGCCCCGGGCACGTCATGGGACAGCCCTTTCTCAGCCTGGCCCATGGTCCAGTCTGACTTCTGCCTGCCAGCAAGTCTGCCCCGAAGACAAAGCCCACTCCACTGCTCACAGCATACACCTGGCTCAGCTGCCTGCTGTCCTCTGAGCCCCAGCTCATCCCCAAAGCGTGGGTGTCCTCAGTGGAAAGACCCTGGGTTCAAAGGGTGCACCCACTCCTGTCTCTAGGGGTTGTGGGAGGGCTGCATTGGGCTGCTTATCCGTACCCTGTCCTCCATGGCCCCACCCCACAAGGATGCCAGGGTCCTTAATCAACTTGCTAGCAAGTTGCCCACTCCCCTTGGTTGGCCATAGTCCCACCCAGGAGTTTGTGGGAGCTACCACGGTGACTGGAAGGGTCACCCTGAGGAATTCGAGGCCAGAGGCAGGAGGAGTGCTTTTGAACTGGACGATGTCCACTGTGGGATGTCTGTCACAGAAGTGCCCATGCCCTTTCTGGTGGGAGCAAAGTGTGCTCTGTGCCAGAGCCTCTGCTGGTGGCGCTGAGGGCTGCTTGGGCAGCTGGGCTGGAAATGGTATTTTTAGCTCATCCCTTAATCTGTCATCCACAGTGCAGTAGCCACTGGCCTTAGTGCCCATGGTGCCCAGTTCTTTGCCCAGGCTGGTGTTGGGGTGGGACTCTGCCAGAGGGCCCCGTGATGGCAGGCCCTTGGACTGTCGAAACACCTCAGGGCCACACTAGCGATGAGAGCCTGGGCTACTGTGGGCGGGGCGGGGGGTGGGGGGCTGCTGGAGTGAAGGACACATGAATGGCTGCTACCCACCACCTAGTCGGGACAGCAGGGCTGCTTGCAGCAGTTTCTGCCTTCGATAGCTGCCAGCAGCAGGCGCCCATCCAGGAAAGGGACCACTCATCCTACACCTCTGGCTTGTGGGCTCTGTGTTGGCGTGTAAATGGTTTGTGAGATCTGTATTCGTGTATGTGTACATGTGTGGTCTGAGTAAGATCCCTGCCTGTTGTGTGCATGTACACAAGTGGTCTGTGAGCTCTGGGCTCCTGTGTGTCACCTGTGGTCCCTGTATGTGTGGTGTGTGCGAGCTCTGTGCTCATGTGCCTTTGCATTTGTGGTCTGCGTATGCACTGTACCCATGTGTGTGTAGATGTGGGGTCCATGCATATGTGGTCTGTGTCATCTGTGTGCGCATATGTGGTCTGTGTCTATTTCCTGTGTGATCTGCATGTGTCATTGTGGGGTCAGTTGTGAGTAGTCAGTAGGAGGTCTTGTGTGTCCATCTAGGGTCTGCATATGCTGCGCACAGGCACTGCATGCACATGCCTGCCTTCTCGTGAGCCAGGACCCAGCTGTGTCAGGCTGCTCTTGGCCACAGTGCCCAGGCGGCTGGCACCTGCCTTCACTCCACAGACGCTGTCTCTTGTGGTTCCTTGTCTGGCCATTTCACTGAACTCCAGGCCCAGACTGGTCTGACGAGCTCCTCCTCCTGGGTGGGGCAGAGGCGGACTCTTCCCTGAGTGGGCTTGCCTGTGTGCTGTCCCTCAGGATAGGCCCCGGTCCCTATTCTGTGCCGCTGGCTCCTCTTGCTGCTGCTGGCTAGACTAGGCTCCCAGTGATGTTTCTGAGCCTGCCTTCCATGCTGTCCCTCCCCAGACCAGACCGTGGGGTGGGGTGGGGGTGGGCTTCTGGGTGATGTGATAGGATAGGCTCCTCGCTGGCTTTGGGCAGCAGAGAGTAAGTGCTGAAGGGACAGTAACTGACGCTGGGAAGGCCTTTGCGTGGTGCAGGGGCTACAGGCTGAGCAACTTGGAGTGTTTTGTTGTGCACTGCCCCAAGGCCTGGACCAGCTGTGAAAGCCAGCAGGTGGGATGTGGGTTCTGGCTCCTCCGAGTCTGTCCTGGCAGGTCAGAGGCCTGTGCCTCCTGGACAGGCAGTGACAGTCATACCACTTTTGAGCAGCCTTGCTGGCCCGCCATCCCTTCTGCACTGTGGGCGTGGCCAAGAGGGGACCGCAGGGCCCTCCTTGGCCCTTCTGCAAGATGGCCCACTCAGCCTGCTGCCAGAGGCTCTGAGGGTGGAGTTAGTGTGAGTTGCCACCTTGAGAGGAGGACTGGGCCTTCCAGGCTGCATCCTGAGGGTCCTGGGGGCTGCAGGGTGGGGGCAGGAGTGTGGTGAGAAGCCTGAGGAGGGCTGGGCCCAGGCTGGGGAGGGGTTCTATGCCTAGAGCTTTCGAGGCTCCCTCCAGCTAACTCAGACTGCTGGTCCTCCTCACCCAGTGACCCAGCCTCTGTGATGAGACACCTCTGTGCAGGCACCCTCGAGTGCCGTGTAGCCTCTAATTTGGGTTGTGAAATGTGCAAAGTTTAGAGGAGCCCCTCCGCTCAGGTCCAGTGTCTATCTTTGACGTGTGTGGCCCTGGGGCACGTGGTGTCCAGTGCACGTTGCTGAGTTAAGCCCCCAAGGTGCCCGTCTGTGGGGACTTGGCTGTGGGAAGGTCTGACTCAGCGCACTGATCCTGCCTGTTTGTTTGCAGGAAGCTCTTCGTGGGCGGTCTGGATTGGAGCACCACCCAAGGTAGGTGTGGGGGGTGGGCAGGGACCCTTGCCTGGTCCTGTGGTGAGTTAGGCACGTGGGGTTGGGACCCTCCAGTTAGGCTCCTGGGACAGGTTTTAGATGGTGGGGCTTGAGCTGCAGTCCAGTCTGGAGAGTGGTCACAGGAGGCTAACACCACACCCTTTTTCCTGGGGTGCCTGTGTGGCCAGGAGGGACGGTGACGTTGGCATGAGAGTGCAGTAGCCTTCTTGAAGCCAGGCTTCTCGTGGCCACAAATGGGACCCTGCCTTGTCCCCCCCACGAACCACTGGCGAACACACATTTGAGCAAGCTGGAGCCCTGTGAGCACACCACCACATAACCCAGCCCCTGTACTCTGTCTCCACTCTGAGGCACGTCTGTCTATGTCCCTGCTCTGAGCAGAGACGGACGTTTGTCTGTCTGTCTGTCTGTGTCCCCACTCTGAGCAGAGACGCTGCGCAGCTACTTTTCCCAGTATGGAGAGGTGGTCGACTGTGTCATCATGAAAGACAAAACCACCAACCAGTCGCGAGGATTTGGCTTTGTCAAGTTTAAAGACCCAAACTGTGTGGGGACAGTGCTGGCTAGCAGGCCACACACTCTGGATGGCCGCAATGTAAGTCTTCTCTCCTTCCTCTTCCCCTGGCCATGGGCCGGGTACAGACCTAGGGTGCGCACTCTTGGGGGACGGGGGTTGAGGCACAGGTTCGGTGAGGGTGGGAGGCTGGGGCTCAGGTTCAGGGTCGCTGCTGGCTCTTTCTAAGAACAGGAAGCATCTGCCTTACACTTCTCGGTTTGAAACTTTCCACAGATCGACCCCAAGCCATGCACACCCCGGGGGATGCAGCCAGAAAGGACGAGGCCCAAGGAAGGCTGGGTAAGAAGCTGGGGGCTTGTGGTGGCAGGTGGTCCTTCCCTCACTGAGGGTGAAGGCTCTGGGGGCTTGTCCCTTCCAGCACTCCTAAACCCACTGCCCTTGAGTTGGTTCTGACGCTCAGCGACCCGCATGGACAGCATCACTGTCCCCCTCAGCTGTGAGTGGGGTTGAATCACCAACCTCTTGCTCCGTAACCCAGTGCTCATCCCCAGGGCTCCTTCGAACTGAGACTGCCGCCCACTACTCGTGCTTTCCCTGTCCTCCACTTGGGCCGTGTCGGTCAGGCTGCAGCAGCCTCTCTCTGCTTAGCGGCATCTCCCCCTTGGGCAGTTGCGACTGTCCATGCTGAGGCCCTTAGTAGCTGCAGACGGCTGAGACCCTCAAACCCAGGGCTGTGTGCTTGCATTGGGCTAACAGCGGTCTGTTTGTCACATGGGTCCACATGGACCACCTCAGCGGGAGATTGCACCTCCTAGGGCCACAGCTTCATTGCCCACTGTTGTCCCTGGGCTTGGCATGCCACGGCTTCTGCTGTGACCCACTGTCTCCTGCAGCTGCCTTCTCCAGACTAGAGGCCAACCCAGGCCTGTGCTCCTATGGCGCTGGCACCCTCCAGTCTATCTACAACTGCAGAGCGCATTCTCACAGAGGGGCCCGCAGAGTCCAGCCACCGGGTCACCTCGGGATAGACCCTGACTGCAGGGCTGCGACCCGGCACCAAACCCGCAGGGGTAGTAGGGCCCAACGCGCCTGGTGGGGGGTGGAAGGGGGGGTGAGCAGAGGTGAGGTTTCACTGATCTGAAACCTGTGACCATCATGTGACATTCCCAGGGCCCTGCATGCACACATGCTAACCGCCTTCTCCTGTCTGAGACAGAAAGGACCCAGGAGCGATAACAGCAAATCCAATAAGATATTTGTCGGGGGGATTCCTCACAACTGTGGCGAGACAGAGCTCAGGGAGTACTTCAAGAAATTCGGAGTGGTAAGTGCTCCTGCCTCGGCCTGCCCAGGCAGTCCCGGAGGCCCAGCCCAGACACGTGTGGTTCCAGATCTCTCTCTCTCTCTTACACACATGCGCTCTCCCATGTACTTCCTACCCCATCTCATACAACGTGTACACATGCTCCCCTCACTCCCTCTCCCTGCCCTCCCCCCGCTGCGCACATGTGTGCAGTTCTGCCCTCTCTGTTACTTGTTTCTGGATTTTTTCGGGTTCCTAGAGGAGCCATGTGTTGGATGTGGTTTGTTTTGTAAGCCTGTGTGGCTCTCTGCTCTTCCTCGTACCCTCAAAGAAAAGGCTGGAAACCCAGCCTCCCTGCACACCCAATTCCCTCCATCTCCTCCCCCATGCATCTGTGTCCAGCCACCTGCTGGTGGCTCTGGCCTGGGTGTAGCCCCCATGGGTGCCAAGCATGAGACGCTCTGACCTGGGTCTGGCTCGCAGTTTGGCATACGCTGACCGGTCCTGTGCGGGAGTTGTCAGGAACCGGAGGGTGGCCTGGAGGGACTGATGTTGAGCAGGCAGCGGCGCTGTCACGTGCAGCAGGTGTGGGGGGCAGGAGGAAGGGCCCAGCTCCTCTTGAGTGTGTGGCAGGGTGTCGTGAGCCAGGACCAGGACCAGCTCGCCTCGGTGATCATTGATTGGGTCAAAAGCCACTCAGGCAGTGGGCTGGGCCTTGTTGCCCGTCTGCCACTCCTGCCTCTGTGGCCTCCCCTATGCCATGAGGGTGGGTGACTGGTTTGAGGTGGTGGGACCGCTCCCTCAGGCGTGCCCTCTCTGTCCTAGGTCACTGAGGTGGTGATGATTTACGACGCTGAGAAGCAGAGGCCCCGAGGTAAAGGCAGACCTCGTTTGTCCCGGAGCTTCCTCCCCACCCTCCCACCTCCCCTCAGATGGCAAACTATCTCACCCCGAGCCAGGCTCGGGCACAGGCACAGCCTTACATGGTCAGGGGCAGCCACGCCTGGCCCTGTGTGCCATGGCAGGCAGGCTAGTCAGGCCCCTCTGAGCCCTGGACGTTTTTTTCAGCCTTGCCCCCCATCCGAACGTGTTGTTGGGGCTCTTTCCTTACAGCCTCTGGTTTCAGGTTAGCACCCATGTAGTCAGATGCCCCCCTCCTGCCCTGCTGGAAGCCCCGCCACGCCGTGTCTGGGTGTTTTGTTTTTTCCTGTGATTTTTGGGGCCCCTGCAGTGAGTGGAGCAGGCAGGAGGAGGGTGAGGAGTGGAGTCCAGAGTCCCCGTGGTGGGGAGCTCGCGACGTCCTGCTGCCCTTTGTGCCCGCCTCAAGTCCCTGGAGCGGCAGCCCCTGGCCCGCCGAGTGGGCACCGCAGGACAGCATGCTCCGCCATGCTGGAGAATAGTTTGCCATTTGAATTTCCATCCCTCCTCCTCCTCATGATGAAGTAATGTGCTCCCCACTTCATGTTAAATATTAAGCTGTTAAGTCTTAGTCTTAATTTTAACTTAGACATACATGCTAGTGATCTGTTGAGTGTCTGGTAGTGAAGTACAGTAGCTGTTAAGTAAGCTGTTCCTTTGCATTGTGTGTGATTAACGATCTCTTGAGATTTCTCTTCTCCAGGTGCTAAGTGTTATCACACAGGTACAGGCCAGGTCCACAGTCAGGAGGGCGCGGGCGCTCCAGTGGGGTCTAAACGAAGTTTCACTGTGTTTGCCCTTCTGCTCCTCCTGGTGACGCCCATGGCAAACACCCTCCCTAGGCCCCTGGCGTGTGGCCCCAGCCGCCCGAGGAGCAGCCGCGTGAGCCGGGCTCCATACCGGCCTCGGGCAGGCACTGCGGTTGGGATGTGTCCTCCTCACAGCCTAGCTTCTGTTCCAAATACTGTCTCCCGTCTGGAGAAGCTTGGGGACCCCAGGACTGCTACCCGCCCCCCTCCCTGCCAGTCTGCCCATCCACTACCGCTGGGATGGGAGGAGCTGGCCTTGGGAGCCCTAGTGGTCAGGCTGCCAGCCTTGGTGCCTGCTCAGTCACAACGTCAGGCTGTCCTCTGCTTCAGGCCCCGGGGTGCCCTGGGAACCACCTTCCTCTTTGCTTGACCACTTCTCAGCCTTTCAACAGGACTGTCTCACCTCCTTTTCACACCCTCCCCCTTGGGGATCAGGCCAAGGAGGTGGTAAATAGGGTCACATAGGGTTCTACACGTGTGTGTGTCTCACTGTCTCCAGGACGGCCCCCAGTACCCACGCTGCTGTGTGTGTGTGTGTGTGCGCGCGCGCGCGCGCGCGCGCACTCTCCCCCCACCCCCTTGCGCCTTGCCGCCCCATGCTCCTAGGCTCTATCCCGGGTTCATGTTCATGCTCTCTGTGTACACCTGTGCCTGTCTGTTGTCACGTGTGCATGCTGGGGACACAGGGCCTTGCTCCTGCTGGTGCTTCACTGGCCTTTTTGTCCCCTCTCCCCGCCCTACTTGCATCCTGCCCCCAGTGCTGGACACACTTATCCTGCCCGGTCCCATGTGTCGCTTGAAGGCTGTCCGTTGGGCTGTGCCCCAGCTCCATTGGGAGCTTGTTCTTCTGGTCCCCCATGCTGTAAGCTCACTGCTTCTCCACACAGCCACCCCCACAGTGCCCTCGGCCCATGTCCATGTGTTCTCCTACAGCCTGGGGTCTGTGTCTGGCTGCATATGGCCACCCCCACACTGCCCTCTGTCCGCAGCCATCTTGCCTTCTCCTGTGGTCTTGGGCTCGTCTCTGTCTGTGTACATGTGGCCACCCCACAGCACTGTCCGCCTGTGTACATCCTGTGTTGTCCCTCGGTCTCGGGTCTGTCCCAATCTTGGGTGGGAGCCATGGTCCTCCTTGCACCCTGGGTTAGTCTAGTGCCATTTGCTCAGCCAGTCCTGCCCTGCCCTCGCACCAGCCCAGACCAACCAAACTTCGTTTACACTGCCACCCTCTCCTCTCCTGTGGAGTCACTCGATTGTTCCTTTTGGAGTTTTCTGTTTTGATCATATGATGCCTCCTGCTCTTGCTGCTGGCAGCAGATTGAGCTGCTGGAATCCATGTTGGCCTGTATCTCTGTGTATTTTAATTTACTTAATGACTTATTTACCTAGTTATATACATATTTATATACGTAGACTTATATATACATATGCCTATATCTACATCTATACGTGCGTGTATCACCTCTGGTAGGATGGACTCCGTGGGCTTACCCAACGGCGTTGGATAAGCTTAGCGAGGCGCGCGCTGTGGCAGGGCCTGTACTGACAGCTGTACACGGGTCTCCCCGCTGTCAGCATTAGCTGCAGAGCAAACTGCAAACCGAGGGGGAAAGCCGGGTTTCAGAAAAGCCCAGACATGCACCATGCCCACACCTGGCTAGGCATATAGAGACCTTCGCTGCTCGCACACCTGCCTGCAGCCACCCCAGGGCTTCTACTTGGCTCCTGCTGGGACATTCTAGCAGCCGTCTGCCATGCGGTTACCTCACCACTGTCCTTACTGGTCCCCACTGGGCTTGACTCTCACCTCCCCAGAGTCCAAGTTTACTCGTGGACTTCTGGTGCCCAGGGCAGGGAACTTACTAGGGCCTCAGTTGCTGCGTTGTGTGCCAGCGGGCAGCTTCCTCCGCATCTGGCCCCTGACAGTGGCCTGGGTGGGACACAGCTCCAGGGACCGCCACCCCTCCCACACGGCGCTTTGCTGAGACCCGGCTGATCCCTCGGTCCATCCCTAATACTGTTGGTCATCCTGTTTTGTGTCACAACACCCTGCTACCTTGATTCACTCTTCGTCGTTGGCTAGGTTTTGGATTTATTACTTTCGAGGACGAACAATCAGTGGACCAGGCTGTCAACATGCATTTTCACGACATCATGGGCAAAAAAGTGTGTAGTTGTAGTTTTATTTTACCTTAAGACCAAACCAAGTCTTAGGCAACCTAGGGGTTCCCCTGGCAAACACCCTTTTTAGAAGACCGGCCGGTAGGCTGCCCTGCCGAGCACCAAGCCACAGAGCCCTGGGCTCAGGACATGGTGGCTAGTGGGCTGAGGGGGTGGACTCCCTTGCCCTAGGGGAGGGCCAGGTGGGAGGCAGGACTGGGGAGGGCAGGGGCAGGGCGGGCGCCCAGGCCATGGGGCACATGCAGCCTGGCAGGCTAGCCCAGGGGGACCTCGGTGTTGCTTCAGGCTTGGTCGCAGTTACCACTCCTTCAGATGTCTGTCTCTCTCATGCGATTGTCTGGTCCCGGCCCGAGGGCGGGACGTGCAGAGGACCTCGGAGCACTGAGGCCTGTGTCCAAACCAGTGAACCGTAAACATCCTGAAGGATTGGTGTGTTTCAATGGGGCCACCTCGTGTGACCCTGGGACAACCACTGCTCTCGTAGAGTTAACCCCGTGCGGTTTCATCTTCATACTGTGTTGCCGCCACGGAGGTGACGGGGGCGGGCCAGGCCCCCCTTTGACAGCCTTGCCCCCAGTGAGCAGTCCGGGGGAGGACACTGGCCAAGCTCCCATGGGAGGGACAGCTGACGGTGGCCTAGGCCTCCCTTCTGCAGGAATCCTGTGCAGGCAGTGGTGTGTGCCTGTCCCTCAGACTCCCTGCTGGTCTCTCCTCCAGCAGGCTCTGCAGTCCCCATCCCAGGCTGGCTCTGACCCCTGGTGTGCAGGCCAAGGTTCTGGCCTTGCCCTCTTCAAAACCCCTTGTTGGCAGAGCTGCCTGGGCAGAGAGGACGTTACTGCCCCTCGTGTCTATTGCGGTCTCACTAAGCCCCCAGGAGACTGACCAGCTGTGCTCGGCTGGGCTGACGAGCAGCCTGTGGAGGGCTCAGCTCACGGCCAAGGACGGACAGAGGCAGTGCCCACATGTCCAGGTATCTGATGGGGTCAAGAAAGCTGCAGCGGGATCAACCCTCGAGTTTAGGACCCTCTTCGGGGCTCCCTTGGAATGGTGGGTGTCAGTGATGTCCTTTCCAGCTCTGCTGACCACAGGACCGAGCCTCTGGGTTCCTCCCCAGTAGGTGCCCAGCCCCAAGCTCAGCTCGTGGCCTGTGTCCCTAGTCTGTGGATGCCCTGTTCCTCCAGTTAAATGGGGGTGCCTTATGCCCTAGTCTCTTGAGACCCCCTGTTAAATTGGTGTGCTCCCTGCTGCTGTGTGAGGGCCCCAGTTAAATGGGGGTGCCCCTGCCAGCGTGCCTCAGACCCCTTCTTAAGCAAGAATTGGGGTGGAGGCAGCAAGTACTTTCTTCAAGTCCCAGGGATGCTCGGGAGCCTGGCCCCTCACAGGGCTGAGTGTAGCCTGAGTGGCGCTCTGAGCAGCCCCTTAGTCCTGCTGCCCACCTTCAGCTTGACGGGGTGGAGGGGAGGTGGTCCCCCGAGGCCTCTTCCTGTGGCTTCTCCACCAGGAAGGACTTCAGGCCTAGGAAAGGGCCCTGCGTGTGCCCCTAAGATGCCAGGGGGTTGGGGGGCAACGGGATCTCTTCTTTGCTGTAGCCAGGCCGTGGCAGCAGTCAGAACGTGGGGACCACCGTTAGCCAAGGGGCTGCTGTGGCTGCCGCAGCGGGCTTCGGTTAGGGTTAGCAGTGGGCTTCAGTTAGGGTTAGGGTTAGCAGTGGGCTATGTGCGCCTGGGCCCCGCCTCTCCCCGCCCCCTCCCTCAGGGGCAGAGGAGGCTGGCTGGGGCCGAGAGACACAGTATGAAGATTGCTTACGAGCCAATGTCCATTTACTGCATGTTTGTTTACTTTTTGTTAGATGTACCGTAAGGCTCTCTTATCACATCCATTCCCTCTGACATTGTTTTGAGTTAATTAAGATTTTTTAACCGTTAGCCTGGGGAAGGTAAGTCTTTATCTTCCATTAGACATTTTAAATAAACCTTAAGTAAACAAACCAACCGTGTTTCTCAGGTATAAGCTCAAGTTGCAGGCAGTGGGTGGGCGCAGGCCCTTGGCGCCCCAGTGGCGCCCAGCCCAGGCTCTGGTCTCTGTGGCTGGGACCCAGGCGAGGTGGGTGGGGTGAGGTGGGGGGCGGGGGGTGTCAGCCCCCAACAGCCTGACCCTCGGCCTGTGCCTCCAGGCAAGGCCAGTGTGGCTTCCAGATGCACCTGTTGTACCTGAGAAACATTCTTTTTTTAAAACAATAAAAATTTTAAAGAGAAAATAAATAACTACTGGCCTAAATAAGGTTTATAGTTTAAGTCTTTAGTCTTAAGCCATAAGATGCTAAGTGTAGTTTTAAGTTACTTGCGGGTGTGTCTGACGGGAAGGGCTGGGATCCCGGCTGCCCCCTAAGCCCCAGCTCGGTTTGTCCAGGTGGAGGTGAAGCGGGCAGAGCCGAGGGACAGCAAGAGCCAGGCGCAGGGCCCGCCGGGGGCCAGCCAGTGGGGCAGCAGGGTTGTGCCCAGCGCTGCCAATGGCTGGGCTGGCCAGCCGCCGCCCACATGGCAACAAGGATACGGCCCGCAAGGTAAGGCCCCAGGTGTGTGGGTTCTGGGGGGCGGGCTCCGTTACCACCCCTTCACCAGGTCCTCCAGAGGGTGCCCCTGTGAACTGCCTCCCCCTTCCTCCGGCCAGCGTAGTGTCACAGGCGCTCGTGAATCTGCACTGGGCCAAACAGCAGCTGGTGCACTTGTCTCAGTGCCAGGTGCCTGTGCACTTGCTGGTGCTCTGTCACGGCTCCCGTCACAGGGACTCTGAGCCCCTGGTTTCTGTCCACACCCAGGCGGGTGCTCTGGCCGAGCCTGGAGATCTCGTTGCAGCACTGTGGTGGTGGCAGGAGAGCAGTCGGTAGCTCTTTGAACTCAGGATAGTAATTAAAGGGCTGAGAGGAGGACTGGGTGAATCCTGGTCGGCGATGTGCTGAATGTGAGTAACAGAAAGATGCACAGGGCAACTCTGGTTAGTGTCCACTCCATCGCAGGGTCTGCAGCTCCATCTCTAGTACAGGAATAGGGAGGTTTCATGGAGGGGGAGCCACTGTCCTTGGGCAGACATCGCCCATTTCCTTGGAGCTGAGTCTGGCAATGCTATGCCTGTTTTGGGGGGGCCCAGGGATCATCCTGTGCTGGACCGTTGGTGTGGCTGCCGCTCAGCAGGGTGCATCTGGCTGGGCAGGGCAGCTTTGTCTGTGTTCAGTGTCTGTTCAGCAGGCCTCTGCCTTGTCAGTTGGGCTGGCTGAGAACAGAACTGGTCACGGGCTGCCAGGAGCACCCGAGAGCTCAGGAGGTGAAGGTCAGGCTGTCTCCTGGGCCTGTGAACAGTCTCATCCCACTGCAGTGACTTGGGGAGGCAGGAGGGCCCAGGTCCTGGAGCTGAGCTTGCCCCACATCTGTCCTGCCACTTACACTTTGGGGGCCAGCCCCCCTCTGGGCCCTGGACACCTCCGTGGTGGCTGCCCAGCATGAGATGACACACTCTCCACTTACAGGTCTAGGGCAAATGCAGGACGGCCTCTGGCCACCAACTTACTGGCTGTCCCACCCCTCCCTCCTCCTTTCTCCCTCTCCTCCACCCCTACCCTCAGAGGCACTCGGGTTCTCACCAACCCCAGAGGGAGCTTGGTTGAGAACTGGCCAGGGGCCCAGGTAGGGCGCGGGACACAGCGCCCTTTCCTCCCTGGACATGGTGTCCCACCACACCAAGTTCCCTCTTGTTTCCCGTGCAGGAATGTGGGTGCCGGCAGGACAGGCGATCGGTAAGTCCAGCTTCCTGCCAGAGCCAAGGCAGTGTCCGCCCTGTCCCTGGTCAGCATGTGTACAGTCTCTGCCTGGATAACTCCCCTCTTCTTTGGCAGGTGGCTATGGACCGCCCCCTGCGGGCAGAGGAGCCCCCCCGCCGCCACCACCATTCACCTCCTACATTGTGTCTACACCGCCTGGGGGCTTCCCTCCCCCCCAGGGCTTCCCCCAGGGCTACGGGGCTCCTCCACAGTTCAGTAAGTGCAAACTGGGCCCTGGGACTGTCCCCCTGCTGTCTACAATGTGGGGGGGTGGGAGGGGACGCCTGTGAGCAGGGCTCTGTTGACCCTCCTGCTTTGGCATTTATAAAGCCCCTCGGCACCTGTCCCCCACCTCCCTGAGTGTGTGGGCTTCCTCAGGGCACATGGGTGGTCATCCCGAGGCCTCTGTGCTTGGCCCAAGGGTGCTGGTGAACACCCCCCCCCCCATGTCCCATGGGGTCTCACTAGCGCAGGTGGGTTCCTGGGAGGTACTGCCCGGTCTGAGCTGGGGCCGCACACTAGCATGTCTCTCTCCTGTGCACACAGGCTTTGGCTACGGGCCTCCGCCTCCGCCGCCTGACCAGTTTGCTCCCCCGGGCGTCCCTCCACCACCAGCCACCCCAGGGGCCGCGCCATTGGCCTTCCCCCCGCCGCCCTCACAGGCCGCCCCTGACATGAGCAAGCCCCCCACGGCCCAGCCTGACTTCCCCTACAGCCAGTACGGTGAGTCACCTGGGGGCTCCCCTCCTCTCTGCCCAGCAAGGCTGGCCTGGCGCAGAGCCCATGTGGTGCCCTGTGGGCTGGAGCACAAGGTGCTGCTGTCACTGGAAGAGCAAGCACCAGGCTCTGGGAACTCAGCTCGTGCGCAGTTGGCCTCGGCGCCAGGGTCCCCATCTGCTGGCTTCCAACAGACCAGTGCATGGATCGTGTGGACGCTGGGTGATGTGTGGAGTGGCCTCCTCACTGGTCACCAGGTGGTCCTGTTGCCTGCCCTAGCCGGGCTCAGGCAGGCACATGACATGTACACGTGTCCACATGCATGCACTCAACGTGGCTGGCCCTCTGTGCCAGGTGGGAGGGGCTGAGTGGCAGCTTTGGTCCCAGCCTGAGGCCCACGCATCGAGCTGTGCTGGACTGTGCTCCCGTCCCTGAAGAGCAGCGCGGGGACGGCGGGCCTGGGGTATGCGTGCCG